AAAAAGTAATTTTAAACAAAATGGACAATCTCGATAAACATTTAATATATCAATATTCATCTAAAATAAAATATTTAAATGGAAGCAAAAAAAGAAAAAAATGATCTGTGTGAAGCTACCACAACACGATCATTGAGCACGATCAGTAGAATATTATGACACGTCAAAATGAAAACCAATCAGAAAGCGATAAATATAAAAAAACCATTATGAAGGAGAAACTCATGGACATGGTACTCCATAGTAACCGTAGCATATATAGCACTGCTATACATAAGGATATTGTATTATTGGAAACACGAGAAAAAGTGTATTATTTTTTCTACGAAATTATTTTTGTGCATAATTTCTAAAGTTCTTCCTATCCTCAAAAAAAGCACGTATCTTTCAATTTTCTACTAAAAATATTGCATATTTCATTGGAAAAAAAAATGGAAATGAGCAACTCCACAGAAACAATAGATTAGTTTTAAAGATAGGACTTTTTCTTTAATATAAAAGATATTATTATTCATGATTAAAAATTATTGATTGTATCAGTTTTCAAAAAACAACTGATTATTATCAACTTGAACTTTATTTAATTCATATTATTTATAGCAACTTGGCTAAGAACTATACATTAATATCTACTGTTCATCTGTTAGAACACTAGGATTTAAAACCGAAATAAAAATAAAAAATATAACTAAATGATAGTTTCAATTTTAAGTTTAAAAACTGGACGAATATATCAACACGCAAAAGTTGGGCATTTCTAAACCATTTTTCGCATGCTCGAAATATATGTAAACAAGTTCTCTAATACTGCTGACATTGTCGTCTCTTCTATTCTCTCATAGAATTTTTTAATGTGTAGCATGACAAAAGAAATGATAACATTTTCTAAGCTAAATAAGATAGCATGTGAGATTTTACATCGTGCTCAATTCATTACATGTTACAGAGTCATTGTATGTAAGAAGGTTATCCAATATCTTCTAATTAAATACTGCAAATATCGTGTTTCTCTGCAAATAAAAAAAGGTTCGGTTCAAACTACGCTCTTTCTGGCGGGCTATTACCGTTTTCTATGAAAATGTGAATTTTCGGTTGATTAGTAATTATTTTAGTGAAAATTTCAATAAAACTATTTTCACTTGATAGTGGAGCAATTTGTTGTTTATTATATGTCGAAAAAATATGGTGAGATAAATGAAATGAGATTTATGTTACCGAAATCTATTATCCTATTCCTAAACTTCAACAAATATGTTCATTATATTAACGCTGTCATATACTAAGCTGCCAATGCTAATTCAATACCTTCTATAATCTCTGTCTGGTGTACGTTAAGGTATTAAGTATGAAGTCACAGTGCTACCATTAATGATGAGCATCTCCTTTTGAACTTCGAAAAATTAAAGTAAAGAATTATGCCCCTAAATTTCCACAACAAACAGAGTTTGAATTGATCTTGTCATTGAAGTATATGACATGCACAGACATAATAACAATCAAATCTCAATACGTGCTCCAATTACATAGATCTAGACCGCCCTTCTATGTCTTATAAACTTTTGTTCAATGTCAATTGATGAATTGTGTAAATTGGTAATTCTAGTGACCATGCATTATTTTATATTTTTCATCTAGTGAGATTCATGGCCGAGAGAGAAGACATGACCTATATGATAGAGCGTTCAATTCTGCATCGAATGATATGGTACTTCTCTCTCGGCGATGGAGTGGACACCCCATAGTACCATTAGCAAATTGGTCATTGTAGTGACCATGTATTATTTCATATTTTTCACGTAGTCAGACTCATGGCCGAGAGAGAAGAAACGGTCTATATGAGAGAGCATTCATTTCTGCATTGAATGATATGGTGCTTCTCTTTCAGCGATGGGGTGGACACTCCATCGTACCATTAGCAAATTGGTCATTGTAGTGACCATGCATTATTTCATTTTTTTCATGTAGTGAGACTCATGGCCGAGAGAGAAGACATGGTCTATATGATAGAGCATTCAATTCTGCATCGAATGATATGGTACTTCTCTCTCGTCGATGGGGTGGACACCCCATAGTACCATTAGCAAATTGGTCATTGTAGTGGCCATGTGTGATTTCATATTTTTCATGTAGGCAGACTCATGACCGAGAGAGAAGGCACGGTTTATATGATAGAGCATTCAATTCTGAATCGAATGATATGATACTGCTCTCTCGGCAATGAGGTGGACACTCCATAGTACCATTAGCAAATTGGTCATTGTAGTGACCATGCATTATTTTATATTTTTCATCTAGTGAGATTCATGGCCAAGAGAGAAGACATGATCTATATGATAGAGCATTCAATTCTGAATCGAATGATATGGTACTTCTCTCTCGGCTATGAGGTGGACACCGCCATAGTACCATAAGCAAATTGGTCATTGTAGTGATCATGCATTATTTCATATTTTTCACGTAGTCAGACTCATGGCCGAGAAAGAAGAAACGGTCTATATGAGAGAGCATTCATTTCTGAATCGAATGATATGATACTGCTCTCTCGGCAATGAGGTGGACACTTAAAACAACCCTTAACAAGTGTTTAACAATAGTGACCATGTAGGATCTGGTTTTTTTTCTGATGAGATTGATAATGAAGATAGTGGTGTAGGTATTGAGTGGAATGGTATTCTCTTGTTCTGACGGTGCACACTTGCAGAGTATGTTGCGTTGTTAATATATCAGTGATCATACTAGAGATATACTATGGGATTTGTAGCTGCTGCTGATGGCAGTGGTCACTGATAGAACGGTATATGTCCATCTATAGGAGGAGTGGAATGTGAAAGAAATGATGATTTAGTCGGATCTAGGAATTAGATGGAGACGACGAAAGAATCGATTTTCTTAGAAGGAGGAGGTGGGGGTGATTGTCTAGTCGTTGTTGGTGTTAGTTCATTGTTGTGAGTTACAGAGAATTGAATTTTTGGTTTACAGTTTTCGTTTGGAGCACTTGGTAGGTGTTAGAGTGTTTGTTTTTAAAGAGGATTTGATGGTAACTAAGCGTTTACTATAGATATTTGCTAGATGGTGTTAGATACTTTGTGGATTTTTGATGATTGGTTAGTCTAATGATGAATATGATTGGTCGTTGTGGTAGCTTCACATCGATAAAAAAATGCCATTATAAGAAAAATGTTTTTGTGTTTAAACAAAATAAAGAAATCACACCGGTAAAACAAAGAATAAAATCACCGAAAATAAATTTTCAAAAAATATTCAATTCTATGAAGTCTTTTTAATAATATGCACTGGTCGGAATGAAGAATTTTCATGAAGAATCTAAGAAAAGCAAAAATTCGTTTTGTTTTTTTTTTAATGAAAATAACCATTATTCTTACTGTTGGTGATAAACGCAATGGACTTATTTCACGAATCTGAGGATTTGATGACATTTGTGTTGAAACATTCAAACGATGCTCATATTGATATGGCCAAATTGGACGAGATACATACTAGAATAAAAATAATAAGATATTTATTCGAGGAAATATATCAAAATATTTACAGGTCGTTCTCGATGAGTTTTTCTTGATGATCGGCTAACACATAATGATAAATGGTTTGTTGCATTACCCATTGTTGATAAGCAAATCATTCTCTTGTTCTCATAATACTGTTATCTGAAAAAGAAAATCATAACACCCATTGTACGAAAAAAAGAAAAAAAAATTGTCGTATAATGAGATTCCGTAAAAAAGTTCTTTCAAAAGTTAATTCACTTGCCACTAAAAAGATTAAATAAAATTAAAAACTAAAAAAGAAAAACCTATGATATTTATTTACTCGAAGACCACCATTATCATCAGTTTGTTTTGGTAATTTAGCAAGTTGTTGTTCAAGACGTTCACGTTCACTTTCACGTCGTTTCATTCGACGTAATTCATCTTCATCAACACCACGTCTTTCATTTTGCTGTATACGACGATTAGCTGCTTCAGCTGCTGCTTGTCGACGAGTGTCCTAGAACAAAACAAAAATAAATAAATCCCATATAAGATGGTTAGATTATTTGTCTTGTCTTTTTCATTCAATAGGATTGAAAAAGAAAAAAAAAATTAGTTATTCATTCATTCGCTCAACTCAATTATGTATTAAATAATGATTACTATCAACTTCGACTAAGATTTTATTTTTTCACGCGTCTATGGTACAGAGATGACTTGTTGTAAAACAAAACGAATTAAATAAACTAAAGATACCGCGTCCGGTGTAGCCGCATTGTTTGAATGAGAAGTTCTTTGACTATTTGAACCACGAAAACAATCAAGAAGTATACCCATTAGACAAATACGTTATGAATTTATATAGAGAAAGTCGCAAATTCTTTTTTTGTATTGATTGTTATGCTCTACAAATCTATTAAAATATATCACTCTGTTTCCCGTGTCAATAATTTTTTAAATATGAATCATTTTATAATAGCATAAACCTATCATGATAAAGGTCTGTTTTCGATTATAGATGTACGACATCTATAAAAGACTTGACAAATACAAGAAGCAACAGAAGTTATTTTTGTTATTATAACTGGAGAATTTGTTTTCTTTAAATGTACACTGCACATACTTAAAAGTCATAGCACTAGGTCAACAAAGCTACATGTGAGCAAAAATCATAAACAGTATAATATTTTTCTTCATTGTAAATACAAGTTTCATAATTTTATCGTAAAAAAAAAACATTCTATTTGTATTTCTTTCGAACTATGAAGCAACAAAACTGAATGAAATTCCATGACAAGAAATCAAAATTGCTGTTGTGTAAAGGAAAAAAAACATTATTATATTCATTCCTCTGTCAATAAATACTACTCTATAAATGCAGACAAATAAAAGATATTTTTGCAAAATATAAAATTATAAAATATGGCAGCGGCAACGAATAGTAGTGAGTTGTTTCGTGCATGTCGTGATGGTGATGTAACTACTGTCGAACGTTTACTTCCTCTTACTTCTACTGATATTTTAAATCGACTAGAACCAAATGGAAGTTCTTGTCTTCATGTTGCTTGTGCTAATGATCATTTAGAAATTGTTCGCCTTCTGCTCGACTATGGTTCATCTCGTCAAATAAGAGATAACAATGGTCATATTCCTTTAGATTTAGTAAAAACAAAAGAAATTACTGAATTATTTCCTCGTCCAGACGCAGCAGCAGCAGAACGTTATGGTGTAAATCCCACGAAGCAAATTGAATGGCTATTGGGTCAAGATTATGCTGAAGCACTTACACGTGCTGTTGCATGGGGATGTGTTAAGGATCGTGGTATAAAAAAAACAGTGAAAAAAATTAAAAAAGCTGGTATATTAAACGATGATGAATCGAAAGAAAGTAAATTAGTTAAATTTTATTTAAATGAAGCAATAGAAAAAAATGATCCAACATTTTTTTTGAAAATCTATACAATAGAAGGACCATTCTTCAGTAATTTTAATCGATATATGACAGAAGGTAGTAGAAAACAAGTATATAAAAAATTATGTGGTAAATGGAGTGGTTATTATACTGGTGCCATTATGAATAATCCTGCACTTAAATGCTATCGTTTTTCTGGAATAACCTATCGAGGTATGCAGATAACTCTAAAAGATTTTGAAAAATACAAAGTTGGTGTTGCTTTAACAAATAAAGCATTTCAATCGACATCAAAATTAAGAAAAATTGCTTTA